ATAAGACTAATGTTGTTATATTTAGAAAGATGGTAGGATATCTTCTGAAGAAAGATGGTCCTTTGATAGCCAACCTGCAATTGTCTCTGATCATTATACTTATCTGGTATCAAGTTTACATCCACTATGAATTGGAAAACACCTGTTACTGAATTATCATTGAAAGCCAAAAATGCATTGATAAGTATTTTATCTGTTTTGTATAAAATTGGTGAGTTGACGCCCAGTAATTACTTTACACTATTTGACAAAATACATCTGATGACCTGTAAGAAATGTTTATATGTTGGACCGAATTGCATGGTGTACGGTGAATGTGGCAGGTATCCCCTGTATATAAATGCTCATATTCGATGTATTATAATATTCTGGTTTAAGATAATGTGCATGCAAAAAAAATACATTACCTAAAATGTCTTATAACATGCTTGTTCATTTGGATAACATTGGTAAAGTGATGTGGGCATCTCATGTAAGGAAACTTCTATTTTCACATGGTAATGGTTTTGAATGGTTAAGCCAGTCAGTTGCTGATGCAAGTATGTTTTAACTCAGTTTCGTGAAAGAAGTCTTAATATGTTTAATCAAGAATGCCATTCAGTAATAGATAATAGTTCAAGATATTACTCTATAGAAAATACAAATTATTACTCCAGCCAGACCAATATATATCGGATTTAACATCAAAGTCATTAAGATAGCCATTTATACGTTTTATTTTAGGCTTGATTAACATAATGGTAAACGGAGGAAGACGTTTTTATATTGAATGAGGCAAGCGATGAAAATGAACTTCAGTTTTTACTTGTATGTCTTTTTTATTAAGATTTGCGTACGAAATATATAACGGAATATAATCTATGTAAGCCACCTTCATCAGCTTTCATTATAAAGTTTTGAAGATCCATCGTGATTCACTATTTGTAATGTAATTTACTGCCTGTAACATGATTCACTGTTTGGATCACTAATTACTACTTATTACAACATATGTATAATGTATATGTATAACTCCAATGCATATGGGCCGAAGGCCTTTTGTACAATAAATATCTTTGACATTTGACTGAAGGGAATTAAAAGAAGAGGATATTTCTTGCCAGTAACAGGTGGTGTTAGTTTAGCTTGCTTTTATGATTGTCTGTTGGATGTCAAATGGATATGCCTTTTATTGCAATGAACTCGTTCACTTTCCTCACAAACTGTATTATTTCCCATAACCGTCAGGCCTCTACAGGTTACACAAAACAATATTAAGGATATAAACGTACTGTGTTTGGAAATTAGATGAATGTTAGACCGAATTGATAGTCTGTAATTTCATTTGAAGCCGAACACGTAGAGTGATGTTTCAAAATTTGGCATAGATTTGGTGTTTCGCCAGACCGTTATCTTGCGAATTTCCCATTCTAAACGGAAAGAAATATACCAGTTACCAGGTAGGCAAATGTTTACTAACGTGTTGCTGCACATTTGGTATACTGATGTATTTTTACAAGGCTTTCTGATTTATAAGTTAGATACTGTTTGTTTATGTTTGGGGCTGTGCATTGTAATTGAGTTTGAATATTTTTTTATAGTGAGGTTCCCTAATAATTGTGGAGGAAAAATCATAGAATTGTATTTTTCGAGTTTGATAAATGGTCTATGAAAGCATTTCCATCACGTCTCTTGTGTTGATATTAGCCATGTTGGTGGCCGAGTTGAAGTAGTGCGGCAGTGTTGTATACGTGCGCAGTGAAGCGGTCATGAAATCAGACGCAGTTTCAATCCAGGATTGATAGTGTCTAATTTTATTGATTGTCCAATCAAATTCGAGTATTTCACGTAGTCATGGTAGAATTTCCCATTGACATCTATAGGAGCATTATGTATTTATTAATTAACTAAGCTATCAACAGCGTGTTATATCTACATGCATATGTGTGCATATTCTGGCCTTAAATCATAAATAAAAATTAAAAATAAGCTCCTTTCCCAGTACAGGAAGCTAAACAGACCAAACTTAAGTCCTCTTGAATATATATGTGGTCACATTCAGCAAAACTCACCATGGCAAAATCGACAGGACTAAATATTAAAACATATCGTCAGTTTTAATCATTGGATGGATGTAAATTTAAGAAACACAAAATGTTACGGAAATCTCATCCAACCACAGCTATCAGTTGATTCACTCAGCACTGAAGGCCCTACGAAAAGTGCATGTTAAACTATTGCTTGTTCAAAGTTGGTGTAGCGTAACCTCTCACGTCCTCCCAGTAGGCGAGCACGCGATTCTACGTACCGCTGAGCAGCGCATGATTCTGTGCAACTCTGGATCTATAGAAACACATGCTTCTTTGTAGCACTGGATCTGTGGAGCCACTGGGCTACCCCACCGCCCACTACTGCAACAGGAACCGCTGTCACATTTAACTTCTGTTCATTTCTTAATGCTTGCCAGTCAATGTATTATTTGATCTTATTCGCAACCATTTGATATCGATATACAGTTTGATATAATATGTATGTACTGAAACACAATATACGTAAATGGTGCCGTTTTCCATTTCTCAAATCATAATGTGCACTAAAACAACATTTTCTTCACTTGCAGACTGTGACTCAGAGCATGTAGAGAGTAGGACACGTCCTGGAAAACGCTCACAATGCCGGCCCATACAGAGGACCTTGTGGAGAAACTTCATGATGTCCAGAACCCAATTAGAGGGTCGACTGAAGTGGAGACTACAGAGGAAGGTGAATCTCTTTGGCAATACGTGTCTCCGACATTCATGACTAGGCAAAATAATGATGACCTGTTTACGGAATAGGAATGGAGACTATTTTCCTCTTTGGAGAAGCTGCTGAGTTCAAACCAAATATGGTGCAGGTATCCGCTGTTCGAGGGTTAAACCCCACGATTGCTATTATTAATCTGATATTTAGGACTCGTAGGATCCAGCGAAGTGGTCAAAGTCGCTTTACGTTTTCTTCCCAAGATGATGCTGATTGTGTATCAGCACATGTCGTTGACTCGGAGTCCTGCTCCCATATCATCCCACAAACGTGTTTGTTTGTTTGTAATGAAACAATCAGCAATATTGAGCTTAACCACCCGAACAATCTAATCGCCTTCTAAGTAAGCATGGGTTCTGCCCAGAATAGATGCGTACGCCAGGCTACTTATGTCAATACGAATCACTCAATGGCAGCTCAAAATGCCTTCCAATGATGTCTTAGCATTTGTTTTGTTTACGACGTTGGCTATCATCCTGGAAGACATGATACAAAGAGTACATTTGATTTAAGATTTTGAACATTTTAGAGAAAGGAATCCACTTCTAAAGAAATACAAAACTGGATGTTGGGGTACGATGACGTGCATCATCCGAACCCGTTAATAGCCTCTTACGACAATTATTGGTTGCCGAAGACCAATTCTAACGGGTATGTGAGTGTATGAGTGTGCAGTTTGGCTTCAGTGAAACCAATTAACATAGCCGGTAGTCTGCCTTCTCTCTACCATGTTTTACGTTGTTATCCAGACCTGCTTCGTTTTAGTTTTCCCGTAGTTGTCGTTCTTGAACTGACTTTATTATTTCCAGACGAATGCACATCCCTGATCCATAATGAAGGCAAGTCCCGCATGTGGTCACCTCCACTCAGGCGGTATGTTCCCGTGGAGCCGGTCGCATTTGGATTCATCTGCTGCGCTGATAATGACTCTGCCCCTCACACAGTTCTACATGTACGACAAAATAGCAGAAGGCTATGGCGGAGTCAACAAAACCACGGCCGATCCATGCAGCCCCGGAGCCGATAACTCGTCCGACGCAAAACTCGAGAACAAGATACAGAGCAAAGCTGCTGATTATAACATATTCCTCATCTTTACCGCAACATTCCCTGGAATCCTCCAAACAATCCTTCTTGGGTCCTTGTCTGATAGATATGGCAGGAAACTGTCAATGCTACTGCCCATTTCTGGACTTCTATCAAAGTTGATCGTGTATCTCATCGTGTTTGAACTGGACCTACCACTGGGATATCTGTTCATAGGAAGTGCAATCGAGGGCTTCTCGGGTGGCTTTGGGACGATGTTAACGGCGATATTTGGATGTGCAGCCGACATTACACCCGTGGGACCCAAGCGAGGATTCAGGATGGCTGTAATCCAGGCAGTGATGAGCTTTGGCTCAGCGTCGGGATCTTTAGTTGCAGGAATATGGATAGAGGAGGCTAACTTTAAACAGCCGTTATACTTTTTGATCGCACTATCTAGTGCAACTCTCCTCTTTACAATATTTATATTTCCTGAAACGCGTAGAAATCTAACCAAAGGAAGTCTTACAGTCAAGGAGCATCTCAAATTATTGAAAAAAAGCATACAGTTTTATACCAAAGACACTCCGGATAAAAGGCGGTGGAAATTGATAGTATCTTTAATGACTTTCTTTACGTCCTTCTCCGTGGATCTCATCAAGGCCACGGTGCTGACATTGTACCTCCTGGCCACGCCCTTCTGCTGGAGTAAGATCCAAATCACCGGCTATGCTGCCGCCAGGACCATCATAAACTGGATCTGCATACTAGGACTAACGCACATCCTTTTGCGCCGATTTTCGGAAGTCACCATCGCAATTATCGGATGTGTTTCCAACATCCTGTTCCTCGGGCTCTTAGGATGCGCCCAGAGTAGTGTCCTCGTCATCGTAGGTATGGCTTTCATCATAAATTTTTTTCTTCAATTATTGTTGCTCTTCAAAATTAACACGTATGGATATCTGACAGTTTGTTATACCTCTATACTTAAACTTCAGCGGCTGCGTTTGGGATCTTCAGTGAAGCAGCACCTGCTATGATGCGGTCAGTGATGTCAAAACTCGTCTCCCCTGATGAACAAGGTCAGTGATCTATCAAACTATTCACTTTCAGTTACTGGAAACACGATGCACACATTGGGTGTAATGGACATAAAGATCTCTAATTACGTTTTAGACGCTGTAATGTGTAACTGTCACCAGCTACATTACCCATCTGTAAAGCTAAGTAACCATAAGGGGGCATAGCATTATTTCTCCTCTGATATGATTTTTTTATAACTTCTTTTGTTAAATTGTCTTTGAATATATCCAGCCAAAACAAGAAACGTTTACACACTTAGACAACAGTATTGTTCATATCAGGTTGGTGTCAACGATTCAGAGCAGGTACAATTGCACCATCTCACTAGGGTTACTGTTTGAATAAAGTTGTTTCCACCATAATTATATATTTGCGGGGCTATGAGATATTTAATGCTCATGAGAAGAATGTTCCTTCTGTCAACGCGACTGAGGAACCAGCTCAGAATTAAGACGAAGAAATTGGTTTAGTCCAAAAAATTTCACTTGGTTAACCAATATATAAAAAAATAAATACACAAAGGGGTGTATGAGCGGAGCTTCCAGCTCAGACAAGATAAGGTGAGCAGAGTTACATACATACATACGTACATACATACATACATACATTGTGATACAATGACAGGTAAAACCAAGGCTGCGAGCGTGACCACCCGATTCCCTGATGACGGAAAAATAGACTAAACCACATGGGAAACATGTGTCGATCTCAACTTAAGTATTACCTTTATTTGTGATGTTGCAGGGGCGCTGTTCGCGTCTGTCGGTACGATGGAGATGGCGGCGGCGGCAGTTTTCGGTGTCGTGGCTACTCTGATCTACAAGGCGTCACTCTCCTTTTTCCCCGGCCTCATCTTCGTCATCCTTGCCGGCCTCATCTTCATCACTGTGCTGATGCTGGGGTATGACCACATCTGTTCCTGTATCACTAGCTAAATGCATGTGTTGATATTACCAACTTATGATCACTGGCTCGTTTAACCGACAGCTGTGAAAAAGTATTACTAACAGCTGAAAATCCAACATTTTTTTCTGTCAATTCCTATCGGAGTGTTCATTTCAGGTTGGGGGAATGTGACGCCGATTCGAATCCGATACCCTGGGTTCACTGATCGGGCCCATTCCATGTGTAATCCACCATAAAGTACACTTCCATGAATGTCCAACCTATTTATAATTTTTGTGATTCCTTACTTTTCCTATTTTTTCCTATTTGTATTGTGTTTCTATTAATGTGGTAGCAGATTGTTTGTTTGATGTTTAACACCGCCATCAGCAATAGTCCAGCTAAATGGCGGCGGTCTGTAAATGATCGAGTCTGGACCAGACAATCCAGTGATCGACACTATGAACATCGATCTACGCAACTATGATACGATGACACGTGTCAACCAAGTCAGTACCTGGACTACCTCGTCGCCTCTTACGACAAGCATGCGTTGCTGTAGACCAATTCTAACCCGGATTTTCACGGGTCTCGAAGAGTACTCTTTACTACACCAATGCACAAAAATGTCATTGACTCCAGTTTTCAAACATATTTTAAAGTAATTGTTCTTTGAATTTACAGCTTTTAATTCCACCATTCACAACTCCTTATGAGAATATCACGTCGTATGTCCATTTTTGCTGTTATTAGCAGCGTCTGTTGTAGATCAGTTCAAGGTGTGAAGTATATGTACTAGGAATACGTATCGGCTGACATGGGACGTGAAAACCTTTACCTTTATTTTTATTCCTTTACCTCTTGTTTGCAGTTGTGAGCCATCATTTGCTGTCCTTACTAGATTCTTCACAATTATAATATCATTTAAATATTTCTCTTTCAGGGCACTGAGCTACAGTCTGAAGAAAAGTTCTTCTCAGCTGTCGCAAACTATTACGGTGACAGTGGATTAGCCAATTACAGACGAGTACCTACCACTTGCCCAATCACAGATGAAAGTGCATTATTATCCAATCAGAAGCAGAAACAAACGAGTAACCAATCAGAAAAGAGAAGGGAGAGGCAAGGTTGTTAACAGCAATTTTACAGTCGGTATTCACGGACAAATATTATCAGACTAGACATAGCAGCCGCCGCCTCAAATAACAACCTAATGAGAAAAAAACGCTTTGTGTTGAATAAAAGTATTGGTTTATTTTGTAGGGGTGGAGGTTGTACAGGTAATCGTCTCATTGTCTTATTTAGTACGATGTTTTGTGCTTCGCACAGGTTTTTTATCCCCCGCAACGCGTTTTGCGGGGGTATTCAAATGGACTCCGTCCGTGCGTCCGTCCGTCCGTCCGTAGCAGCCGCCGCCTAAATTAACAACCTAATGAGAAAGAAACGCTTTGTGTTGATTAAAAGTATTGGTTTATTTTGTAGGGGTGGGGGTTGAAACAGGTAATTGTCAAATCGTCATATTTTGTACGATGTTATGTGCTCCTCACAGTTATTTGTTGTTCTGTTGCCATGGATATTTTTCTTTACTTGTCTCAGAGTTCCTAAGATACGCTGCGTATTTGTGTAAAATTTACAAAATAAATATTTTTAGATTTGTAACTTCAGGCAGCAAGCGTGCAAAAACTCAAGAGCGACGAATAAAGTATAAAGAGGCGCTCAAAGGCTATTATTGTTAGAATCTACTCTACTTATCTACAAATACCCTAGCTAAACCCAAGGGAGTGAATGTTTTAAGTATGCTTTGTCTGTTTGTTGTTTAACGCCGCACTCAACAATATTGTAGCTATATGACTGTGATCTGTAAATAATCGAGTGTGAACCAGACAATCCAGTGATTGATATCATGAGCATCGTTCTACTCAATTGGGATACGATGACACAACGTAAGTAAATAAGCCAAAGCTTAAAACGTTTTCTGGAATGTCTATATGCTTGTCAATATTTTCACAATTAGATGTTTATAGCGTACTGTAGTTGGGGTCATTCTGACCTTCTTTATCATTTTTACAGTATGTGATATTTGTCAAGTAATCTGTGATATGTGTACATGTGTTGGATAATATCACATCGGAGAGAGATGATTTATACACGATACATCACTGTAATGAGCTTGGTGTCCGCATGGTGTGTCGCGAGCCCTGCAAGTGTTTTCCAGTTGTGTTCTATGTTATAAGTTATTCTTGTTCCGTGATTTGATCATCGCTTGTTTTGTTTTTGTTAACATGGTACCATGAGTTTACCTGCCAACTTTGCCTTCTCTGAGTGTCTTTTACTTTTGACTGAAAAAATAAAGGCTTTTCTTCGTTTTATATACATGCATATTTTCGAATATTATATTCCCTTAGTTGCTGTACAGTTAACCCTCTACCACGCTGTGCAATGTTTCCTTGCACAGCCTCAATTTCCAAAATGTTAACTATAATTTGATTATTTATAATATTTATCCTATCCCACGTCTTGTATTCTCTCACTTATGATCGACAGTGAAGTGAAAACGAACTGTAAACGAAGTTTTTGGCCTCTCTTGGACCTTTCGCCCGAACACATCCCTACTGCTCCCATTCCTGAACAGTCTGGAAGGTCATGTACTCTGATAGGTCATGTGATCCCTTTGTGTAGTCATTCTCGTCGATGAACCGTGTGAGATAGTATAAGTATTAGAAATTACAATTTATAGTTAAAATTTTCAATTTTTTAAAATTAACATGTTTCCTATCCTAACTCCTATCACCCATTCTTACTAATAAGGTGCAATTGATGTCGCCAGCCATTTGTTCATAATCCAACAAATATTGTGCCCAGTATTTGCATTATTCACAAAGTCTTATACTCGCCCTAGACAATAAACACTGTTTCGGGTCATCTGTCCTTATATTGGCAATGCAGGAAAAGTCAAAGTTGGCAAAACGATACGTACGTTACTGTGGCTATGTCGGAGACGATTCACTTAAGTTAATACTGTCATTTTGATTTTGCAGTTTGGGTTTCAGATTGAATATTTAAAGAACAATGTACTTATTACGCTGCATTCAAATGAGAATAAGAAGGCAAACCATCCAAATCGGAATAGTTATAGAGTGTTGAAATGCTGTCGCCAAACTTTGGATACATACGTTGTGTTTTTCTGGATGACAGTGTAGCAGCGTACCTTTCTGGCTTAAGTGAAGTACAGTATCAATTATTTATACTCAAAACATTTACCAATTCAATTACGGCAGGTATTAACTATGAGTATAGTTCAGTATTGGAAAAAATACTTTTCAACACCACAAACAAGATGCGTAGAAATCAAGCAATACATACGTTATCATGCCAATAATTACTTCAATTTCTATAACACTTCACGCAAAACATTATACCAACAACACACATTTCTAGCATTGTAAACAGCTCATATCACGATCAGAAGTGTGTATAGATTTGCAAAAATGAAAATGAAAACCATTGAAAATATACATACGTAACCATTACATACGTTACTAGAAAGTACGGAATGAAGTGTTCGAAACAATATGATTAGGTTTTGGCTATACCTACTTCATGTGGCGACAGTCATCGAACAGCAGACACATTTTGAGAGAGAAACCACATCAGTTTTATGAGGTAATGTTGTTTAAAATTCAGGTGAAACCATGCATACTTAAAGACGTCATGTTAAACATGTTACAAAGTGTAATTCTTTCAAATTGTCATTGTGTGTTTTAACTACCATCATAACAGACAGGAAAGCGATGCTAAGGGCATCATTTGGAGGTCCAGTTTTGGATCAAGGCATGCTAAAGTAACTGATACATACGTTATCAACGGTGACGTAGGTAACAACATTTGTTGAAGATTTCAAACGTAAATGTCATATCATTTGAAGCCAGAAACTTTGGGGTTTTTTAAAAAACATTCAGACTTAAACTGGCAATCAGTGTTATTTAATGTCCTTTTATTTCCACATAATGAGCTATGTGTTGGGGAAGAGATGGTCACCTCTCTGAATGATATGAATATTGATATGAATATTTGATTGTTTAATGGGATGGAAGGATTGATGTACAAATGAAAGGTACTTTAGTAGCTTATCAGACAGAGTTTATACATTTGTAATAACATTTGGATTAGTCCTGGGTCTTTGTTATGTGAAAGAGCATAATTATAGGGTAACGTATGTATCGAAATGTATTATACATACGTTACTCATTTGTTTCTTATTTCAAGTGGGAAAACGTAGAGCAGAAATTCAGACAGAATATCGGTAAATTCGGAAAGCAAAACGACCCGCCTTCCTTGAGAAAGAACGATCGAGGATACAGTCTTGTTATGTTCCTTTTGCCAAATTTATGATGATTAATATTGATCACCCTGATATTGTCTTTATGTAGTACTAAAAACTGTAAAGGAAGAAATGATAGAATCTTGTAATCCTGAAGAAAACGATGCTGATGTGTTTTAATCGATGTTTTAGGTAAGAAAAAGTATTATTCTTCATAATAAAAATCTTATTTGAAACAATTGAAAGTTGGGCTACATACGTTACTGTTTGTACTGCAAAAAGTGACTGGTAATTTTCATGAGTTTTATGTTGCTGCAACTGGCTACCGATCAAATATTTTGCTACTCATTTTTTGGTCTACTTTGCCCTCAGATTGTCGGCTAATCTAGTTATCAGGTTTGATTTTAGAATGTTTTTGCAATTGGTTGGTATTTTTGAAAAAACAATCTGAGTAATAATGATTTACAATGTGTATGTCAAAGTACTTCTAAAGTCTTTGAGCAGACATGTGGGTTACTAAATCGCCAAACTCATGCGGAATATTTGATAGGTTACTCAAATAATTTATCACATTGTCACTTAATTCTCTAGTCAGAAAAACTAGTCACGAACGTATGTGGTGATAATATTTTATAATTCAAGGTGCCACATTTAGATAACAGCTGTATGGTTATTTGTAAAATGGTGTGGCTGAAAAAGTGATATGTAATAGACCATATACCAAACTGTCTAAATAAAATGTTTTTGCATAGATTTTGTGTAGTTGATTTTTGACTTACGACGCTTACCCATTTGCACCTCATTAGTGAGAACGGGCGCTATACTTGTGATGGGTTTGCTTCTTCCAAAACCCCTTGGCTTACTCAGCACAAAAAAAGCCTCCCAGGGAGTGGGCGCTCCTGAGTAAATGTGGTTTCCCCGCTGTACACTTGTACGAAGCCATCCCCACAGTCACACATAAAGATGAAAGGGAAAACGGCCCGGTTACCTCAACTGTTTCACGTTCAGTTCCAGACAGCATTGAATGACAATCGCTCCATTGCTGAAGCTTGGCCAAGGACATGTCCGGCAACTAGGAGCGGAACGCATCAAAATCCACTGGAATTCGGTATTCATACTGTATTCCACTGTATTCGGTATTCCACTGACGTGATTGCTCGAAGAGTAGATCTAGAGGTCAGTGAGTAGAGTGTCGATCACCTCTGCATCGTATTACAAGACTGGCCTCTCAGTCTATGATTAAGTCGCTCAACGGTGACTGCACTGCAATGTCGTGGCGTTAAGTCAGATGAGGTAGATCTAAGCCCAAGGGAAGTAGAATAAAGGTGAATAATGGACTTCCATACATCTCGATTCACTTTACAAGGTAACACCGATGCCGCGGACGGAGGATGTCAGTGTCTGAGGACAGTTGCTGCGCCAGTACCAGGGGACCAAACTGATGGAGTCCTTCTACGTCAGTTACTGAGAGGTCGCGCAGGTAGTGGGAACCAAAGACTGTCTCTGATCTTCAAAAACATCCCTCCATAACAGATGTCAGCCAACAGTTGCTGTGAAGAGTCATTGTTGATGCTAAGCCCCGTGTCTCACGGGGGAGGAGCTGGAGGGGGAAGACCGGGAAAGGTGTAGGCTTGCAGGTTCGTGGATCTCATCCAGAAGTCTAACGTAGTACGGGAGACGTCCACTAAAGAGACTGTTGAGAGTGGGATGAACAGGCGCTTATGCAACCTGCGATGGTCCTGTGAGGCAGCACTGTAAATCTCCAGCGTTCTGACAGGCTTCCAGTGTCATCAGGTTTGAGGATATTGGACAACGGCGGTAGAGTGAGCAGTCTATCTGGCTGCCCTGGCAGTTGATTCTTCACTATGAAGTACCATCGGAGACCCAGAAAAACTCTGCCGTGCCTTTGCTCTCAAAACATACTCCTTAACATCCTGAGCGTGGAGTTCCGATATACGTCCAGCAGTAGCTAGTGCTACCAGGGAAAAGGATTTCAAGGTGATGCGCTTGAAGTTCTTCTCTTTAAGAGGTTCGTAATCATCTGAGATAAGATGTCTAAGCACGACGGAGTGGTCCCAGAGGTCGGAACTTCTTCGATTGGTCAGCAATGATTTTTTTGTAGATGCGCCAGACATGAAGATGTAACGTCTGTGGGAACCAGTGTAGTCGATCTGAGTGTGGATGGACCAATACATCGTCTCCGTTGGGTAGAGCCACTGGGTCTAGATCGGCGAGACGTAACAGATCAACGAACCAACTTCGAGACGGCCAATAAAGCGCAATCAAAAGCAGTGTTATCTTCTTGATGGATCATAGCTTCTGTAGTGTTTGTGGAAGAAACGCTAGTGGTGGGAACACTTAAAGATTCTCCCATGAGATTGCAAGAGCGTCTTGACCCCACACTAGTACGTCTGTGTTTGGTGACACGAACCTGGGTAACTGGTTGTTGAACCTTTTCTGTCATGGTGATTGGTTATCGGGAGACTGATTTGAAGACCTGTGGGTGTATCTTGCAGAGACTTCAAGGGTGTCTATCAGTTGGAAGAAATGGATCGCCAAACCTAGCAGGTGTGACGACCCTGTTGAACGCAGATGATTGATGTACCACACCACCGTCGAGTTGTCCGATCTTATGAGAAGACTGGTCAATTGTAGATCCTTTGCCCATTGTGTTATGGCTTGGATGACTGCCTTCAACTCAAGATCGTTTATGTGAGGGGACTGTTCGTTGAATGACGACAGCCCCACCACTTGTTGATCGTAAAGGTGAGCTCCCCATCCTTGAATAGGTGATCGGCGATCCTCAGGAACGGCCATAGAATCCTCTGGATCGGCTGTAGCTGTAGTTGACCTCTGGTCGAGAGGGCCTGGACGTTAGTAAGCCCAGCAACTCAGGAGCGGACGAAGAACAGAATTCTTCCGTA